TTTTAAATTTGGACCATTTCTCGATTTATGCGTGTCATCCTTGTGCAGGGGCCATGCTAATCTTCTCTGTATCGTTCCAATTTTAACGGATGTCCCGAAGGACAGGAGGCGGGATTTCGTGTCGCTTCTCTTGGGGTCTTCCTTTTATGTTGTGGGCCTTTTCTTGGTCCTCAGCTGTCTGAATCTGGTCGCGGATTAGTGCTCTGGCAGTCGAACTCAAATGTATGTTGTTGCCAAAAAAAAAAAAAAAGTTTGTTGTTGCATTTCGGGTTTTGCTACAACATCTTACCGGCCCGTTTCTTCCTTCTTCTTCTTCTTCTTCTTTTTTTTTTTTTTTTTTTTTAATGTCTTATACCGGCCCGTGTCTTAAGTAATGTAATGAGGTCCAGCGGCCTAGCTCAGTTGGTAAGGCACGCAAGTGGCACTCAGGAGGTCTTGGGTTCAATCCCCGTTGGCCTCATGTACCTTCCTGGGCATGCTTGGTGCCCGCCACCTAGAGATAGCCCGTTGGTCCCCCCAATTGGCATTAAAAAGCAGGCTCTGCTGATGTTCATAGGGGGAGGGGTAATCGGGGAGGCACAGCGACTGGCCACTCAGATGATGCTCAGTCCCTCTGCCACCGGCTGTCCCCTGGCCGGTGCCCCCTGTTGGGGGTTCCCCTGAAGGCTATCAGGCCACCCTAAGGCTATCAGGCCACCCTGGGCTGAAAAAGGCCACCGTTGTCAGATTAGACACAAGATTGAATTTACCTGGGCTGGTTAGTCCGATGATAATACCTCAAGGCCATCGCCCTTATAAAAATAAAAAAAAAGTAATGTAATGAAAGCGAAAGAGAGCAGAGCAGAGAACTCACTCAGACGCAACACGCTGTTACAAAAGCAACAGATACGTAAGAATAGTCTCGATTGAGATCATGTAAAGAACTACAATAAGCCCAACTGATCTCGGATAGTGCCGAGGCCATGCAAGATGAGGACGACGACCGCACTCCGAAACAAAGACTGTAGTACTTGAGCGATAGACTGGCGTGCCCCGACTAGTTTCAGCCACCGCCAGTTGGTGGCTTCATCAGGGGGTGAATCGAGATACTATTCAACCCTACACTAATCCTATTTAAGCAGACCGGTAGCTGCCTAATCGGAACCCCACCGGTTCATCGCGAAACTTCTTGACTATTCCTCGACTACTCGACTACTCCTTCTCTCGGTACGTTGCAGACTCTGGTACTGTCCCACACGTCCATCGGCCGAAGAGTCCCATTTGACTTTTCAAGGATCAAACTCTGACTTCCACTGAAAACCAGGGCCGCTATTTTTCTCATTTCCTGGTCCCAATCTACAGGCCAAAATTCCCTGGGAAACTACCAGTTCGTTGGACCCACTTTTCCTACGTCCGGGCCTTTCTCCGCACAAATTTCCGCAGGCACTGGTTGAACATCCACGGGGGGTACCCTTGCAACCTCAGCTGTCTCTTCAAAGTTAGTAGACTCAGTCCTACTAACTCGTCATCCGTGGTCATCCTCAGGATTCGAAACAACGCACAGGTAATCACAGCTTTCTTCTGGCGATTTGTAGAGAACAAATCGAAATTCTGCAGAGTTCGGTAACAAAAGTCCGTCTCCCAAACTTCATTGAAATTCTTGGGAAAGCAGTAACATCTCACGTTATTACTCTCAATTTCAACCTTCGTGCCCAAAAAGTCTCAACGCCCATCACCATCGTCCGTTCTTTTCAAGGTTAGTCTCTCATCGTATGCTTTAACAAATCTATTCAACACATGCCGTTGCCTTTCTTCCCCTTGTTTAGCCGTTAGACGCATTTCGTTTTTTTTTTTTTTTTTTTGAGCATTTCATTTTTTTTTTTGCTTCTCAGTACAATTCAACTTTGTTCTCAGGGTCGAGGTCCCACTAGCGAAGGGGATAGGATAGAAATCCTAAACCTGGCTATGTTTTATGCAGAGATACAGAAAAGCAGTTCTATCTCGATTTCCTTCTCCTGTCCTCAAACACGTCCAGATTCAGGCATTCAATCCGATGCTCTTTGCTAATGGGACCACTGCCCAGGTAGAGAGGGCAATTGCTTCCAAAAAAAAAAAGTTTCTTTTTTCCATAGCTTCATTGGCTGTTCGGGTCACCACCACGCCAGGTAAAAAAAAAAAAAAAAAGAGGATGCAATTGTTTCTAAATTCTAAGTACAATTCATCTTTGTTCTCAGGTAGAGAGGGCAATTCAAGCTAACTTGGTTTTGTGGCTGCTCTGGTTTGTTGGGTAATTCTATCCGTTGATCGAGTCGTATGATGTGTACGGCCAGAGATGTATAGGGGGGGATTATAGTCTTGTAAAAAGGGGTTTTGTTCTGATTTCCGATGAGAAAATGAGCGCTCGCTTGTTGTCACGTCTTAATTAACATCTGCTTGAGGAGCATCAGTTGGAAATTGTGACTACAGAAAACTGCATCTGAAGTTTGATGAAACGCGTAAATGAAAGTGTGTGGTTCTTCACGGGGGACTTCACCAAGTGGTGCACAGCAAATGATTACTTGGATGGTAGAAATACTGGACTTCCTGCTGGCTGGAACAATGAGATTGGCATACATGCATATGCACACAGACACATACATACATGCTTGGACCACCTTGTTTTGCACACACACACACACACACACACAGAGAGAGAGA